GGGAGACAGAAGGCTTGAATTGAGTGTCAGAGCCAATCCCCCCCCCCAAAAAAAAAAAGTGAGTTGCCTTAGCCACATGGATTAGTTGGTAGGAACTTTGTCCTCATAATGAAAAGTTGTTGGCTGGATATCCTGTTCTTGTGCTTGTGATTCTTGGTCCAGGTGCATATGGAAGGCAGCCCATCAATATTGCTCTCTCACATCAATGTTTCCTTCTTTTCTTTTCTTTTTCCCCTCCTCTCTAAAATGCACGGACAAAATGTCTTCAGGGAAGTTAAAAAATAACAAAAACAGAAGCAAACTTAAAAGCAGGATGTGAGTGAAGTGTTATATTTTGGTGCTGAAGAGGTTTCCTGAACTGCCTTGGGGGAGGAAATGGCTGATGACAAGCTGGTGGAGGTGATAGAAAGATGCAGCAAACACAGTTTTTGGAGCTGGGGCAGACTTCTCAGTTTCAGTTCTTCACCGGCCAAGACGGCACAGTTGCTGGAAGTTTGGTCTGGGTCTGGTGATTGCATTACTTCTCTTTCTGGGTCAGAAAGGCAATGTTGACCTACAAGATTCAAGCCATGATGCAGCTAATTTTTCATGTAAGCAGATGTTGACATCTCTAAGGAAACCTTATGGAGATGCTGTAGGAAAGCTGAAAAACATGCTTGTGAAAGGTGAGGGGTCGGGGCAGGGATGGAGGGTGAAAAGACCTTAGAGTGTTCAGAACCAAGATTAACCTAAAAATGGGAAGAGGGTTGGCAACAGTGGGTCAAAATCTAGGAAAAGTGTAGAGTGTAACGTGCAGAGCTCCAAAGTAAACTTTGGGGCTTGTGGTCACAGGTAGGGTGTCGAAGTCTAAAAGTCCTGGGCTTAAGCTAGAAGATGCAGAGAGTGAAGATATGGGTGTTGAGGGACAAAAAAAGAGTTTGGAGTGTGTGTATCCCAGAACAATCCAGACATATCAGGTTGATGTGAGATCAAGTGGTAAAAGGTTCTTGACTTGGGGACCCCAGAAGAACCTGAAAAGAACAAGTGGGGATGTAGGAATAAAGTAAGGGGGAAAGATGAAGAGAGCACAAGTGCTATAGAATATCAGAGGGGAAAATCCCAAGGATAGCAATAACCACAGGGGTTGACACTGTTGACCACACTCTTCTTTCCTTGTGCAAAAAGTGGCCTCAGTAGAATCCCACAGTGTTGAAGACATGGGTCTGAAAGATCCCTTTAGGAGGGCAGAGGGGCTTGTCAAGTCCACACCATTGCATGGCCAAGGTCTTTCCTTACACGTCTGGGGGGGGCGCAGTTCCTAAATGCAGAGCTTTATATTCCCCCTTTCCTGACCTTAGCTGGTTGCTTGAAGTCTTCTGGCCCCAAGAACCTACTCAGGGCCCTCTTTATTGCGCGGACTTCCCTGTGGCATCCACTTCCTGTCAGCTCCTCCGTCTTGTTGTTGTCTTTCTGCAAGTGTGAAAATCCCCTTTACCAGTGCTGAGATCTGTACTCACAGCCAACGCCCTTTGCTCTCCATTTTGAAGCAGGAGGTTTTTAAAGTCTTCTAGGACTTGACTGCATAGTTTTGCCATTGAAACTTCTTCCTCTGGTAAATCCCCTGAGGGTTCACAGTGCAGACACCTCCTGCCCCACAGTGGTGCCGTCCCAGCTCCTGGTGGTGGGTTCCCTGGGTTTCGGGACCGTCCCTTGCTCAGAGCCCAGGCCAGAGACTCAGATCCCAAATGGGAAGGAAGTCACCACAGGAACAGTAACCACACCACATTCTTGTAGGACAGTGTTTCATTTTTTTGGTTTCAAGCTTGTCTTTCTTGTCAGGGAGGTGGTGGCGGCGTGGCGATGGAAGCTAAGTTGAGAAGCAAAATGCCAAGGTCCCTGGTAGTTAAAAGTTCAGTGCAGGAATAAATCGGGGAAGCCAATACAGCAGACTGTGTGTCCTCCTGAAGTTCATTATTTTAACATACCAAATTCATGTGTAGTGATGAAGCCACAGTTTTCTTCTTTGAATTCCTCACGGGGTGTCATCTTATAAAAATAATATGTCAGGTTGTCTTCTAAGCATTCACAAAGGTCATCTAAACAGGAACTGGCTTCTTTAGCAGAGATTAAACCACAAACACCTGTGCTGGATGGTGACGACCCATTATCCTTTTAAAATAATGGGTGATGTTCCTTTGTAAAACGGTCCCATTCACCTGGTTGTACGCAGCTGAAGTTATCTTGCGAAGTAGAAAAATCAACATCTCATTGATTAGAGAGGTACACAGTGGGTCCAAGACAATCAGGGCTTGCTCCATTCCATATGCCTCTAATTTACGTCTTCCAATATCCCAGATCTTATCTGTGAAAAATGTAGCCAAAATATACACTGCGTTCTCCATGCCTGGGTCCTTTCCAAATGAAGTTCACAGCTCCAGACGAAGAATGTCACCCTTCCTTCCACAGGTTTCGTTGCAAGGAATGACATCACTGTGGTGAGTCAGCCTTCTTTATAGAGGAATGAGGACAAGCTCCTCCTTCTGAAGAAGTCTTGGCCAATGGGTGTGTGCCACATAACCAATAACCACTTGTTGCCTTGAGCTAGTTTCTGCTGACACAGAACTATTTTAACAAACTAGGGCCTTTGCATTCTAAGCCGATATATGAAAAACATTCTCCCTTTAGTGGAAGGAAGAAGAACCAAACTCAAATTTTTATAAGATTATTTTTGTTATTTAAACTAATTTACAGAGTCAAATTTATTATTCAGCCTAACCATACATAACATTTTGTTCCTTGAAATTTCTCATCACCAATGGTTTACAGTTTTTCTCATCTTGCTCAGTTTGTCTCTTCTTAAGTCACTTAGAAATAAGCAAATTTAGAACAGTCCATTTTCTCTTCAGTTTTCTTTAAAAAATATATTTCCTTACATTATACCTTCTATTACTAAACTTACACAGTTTATTTCTAACTTAATTCAAATACTTTGCTCTTAGGTGCGTTAATCTCTAGGGATTCCTAACAATTAAGCAATTCAGATCCTTAGTTTAGTAAATGTATGATTATCATAACTCTTAAAAACAGCTTCTTTCATTGGCAAATATATGTATAATTTAAAAAAAATAAAAAACATTTTTTACTGATGTACTTATTAATGTCTTTGAATGGAATAAAAGAGGTGATGTTGGTCAATAAAATAATACAGCTGTCAGTAGACCACTCTACAATGTGTCATGTGTCCACCATCCCAAACAGAGTCTCCTCTCACCACCATTCATTTCCTCTCTGTCCTTTTTCTACCTCCCCAACTGCCATTCTGTTATCTTTATGTTATTCTTCAAGCATCATTACACTCTCTCAAGTGTTATTGTTTGGAGCTAAAGAGGTTTCTTGAACTGCCATGGTGGGGGAAGGGTAGGGGAATTGGCCAATGACCAGCTGTGGGAGGTGGAAGAAATACACATCAAACACAGTTTTTGGAGCTGGGGCAGAGATCACAGTTTCACTTCTTCACTGGCCCAGACGGCACAGTTGCTCAAAGCTAGGTCTGGGTCTGGTGTTTGCCCTACTTCTCTTGCCTCAGAAAGGCCCTGTTGACCTCCGAGCTTCAGGACAAACATGGAGACACGGTGACCCGTGCAATAATATATTTAAAACAATGTCACCATTTTCTACTACTAAATACATATGGATTGTTTTTTAACTCAAGTATAATTCTTTCCTCTTTAGAAAAGTCCAATTCCTCTTCAACTTTGAACACAAAGTTAACTGTCTGTGTCTCCTTCCATTGGAAAAAAAAAACTATTAAACATTTGTATTACTAAAATCATACTGTGTGTGTTTCACTTATTTGAAATTCAGGACTCTTTACGACAAACAGTCCACTTTTTCCTTAGTTTTTCAAAGACGGTTACCTGTCCATTTTCCACTCATGGAAAAAGAAATGTTCAAAGGGACATTGTTCAAAACACACCACATATGGTGCCTTTTTACGTTCAAGAACATTTTTTTGTTCTTTAGAACCGTCCAATCTGTCTTCAACCATTGAAACAATGTTGACGGTTCATTTTCAGTTCCGGTAGTCAAAATAAGTGGAACCGAGTCAAGAGAAGCAGGAAGCGAAAGTATGAGCAGAGACACTGAATGTAAGAATGCACTGAGAGTAGGCAGAGGGGAGGTGGGAGGGGATGAAGGGTGGGGAGGCAGGAGGGTGTTTGAGGAACAGGTTTGAGGGACACCAGGGCCAAACCAAAGGAAGGTAGGTGAATGCTGGGAAGCTGGCTTGACGGGCTGGGGTGGGGTGGATGTGGTGGGAGTGGTTGTCGGGGGGGGGAGGGGGCGGAATGGAGACATGTGTACTTCAACAACAATAAACAATTTGAAGACAATGTTTGAAAATTGTATGCTAAACATATATGGTTTATTGTTCAGTGAATGAAGATGTTTTGTTGTTCAGAAGAGTCCATTTTCCCTTCAAGTTTTAGAATCATGTTAGAAACCTCCATTACTCAAAATGTATAGTTTCTTTTGGAAGTCATTGAAATTCTTTGCTCTTAGGCCCTTTAGTATCTGGGGTCGCCTAACAAGGACACAATGAAGATTTTCTTAGGTTAGCAAAAGCAGGAATGAACATCATTACTCTTCAAAACAGAATCTGCCATTGGCCAAGACACGCACAAGGTTTAAAGACACACAGTTTTTGTGCTTAGAACTCTAGTTCCCGAGAAGGTTGTTCAATTGCCCTGAATGGGATGAAGCGGGGTGACAGGGGCCAAAACAACAGCACATCTGTCAGGGTGACCAGTTCCCAGAGTGTCCCCTGTGGGCTGTGTTGTGTGTGCGCCATCCCGAGCAGAGTCTCCTCCCACCACCACCCTGTGCGCTCTACCCTTGCCTGCCTCGCCCACCCGCCTGTCCTTCCACAGTCAGCACACTGCTGTCTTGAGTCCCAGCTTCTCTCTCTAAGTCCCTCCGTTATCACTAGAATCCTCCAGCCCATCAAGGAAAGACCTCAGCTCCTCCTTCCCTTTGTCAGTTTATTCCCTTGAAGAACTTGAGGGAAGTGCTCGAGCTCTGCCATCCCCAACACAGAACCCAAGCTCAAGTAGCAAGCAGGGTGTGAGTAAAGTGTAACTCCTGGGAGCCAAAGAGGCCTCCTGAAAAGCCACGTGGAAACGATGGCCAATGAGAAGCAGGAGGAGGGGGTGGCAAGGCTTCTGTGAGGAAGTTTTTGGAGCTGGGTCCGCCTTCTCAGTTTCTGTCCTTCAGTGGGCCACACTGCACAGTTGCTCCAAGCTGGGTCTGGGTCTGGTGGCTGCCGCACTTCTCTTGCCTGAGAAAGGCCCTGTTGACCTCCGAGCTTCAGGCAGCACTGCAGCCAATTTTTCATGGAAGCAGAGGTTGGCTGTGGGAGGAAACCTTCCGGGACCCTGAAGGAAGGCTGAGGAAAACGCCCGTGCCAGGTGAGGGGCTCGGGGCAGGGGTAGAGGTGCAAATGGCATTAGTGTGTTCAGTGCCAGGAGAAAGCCCCAAATGGAGAGAGAGGAAGGCGCCTTGGGGAAAGAACAAGGAAGAGTGCGGAGCGCAGTGTGAAGAGCCCAGACCTAGGTAGAAGTTTTTAGGGCAGGGTGCCCAAGCCTACAAGTCCTGGCGGGGAGGAACCTCATCCATCTGGAAGAGGCAGAGAGTAAGGCTGTGTGTTTTGAGGGACAGAACAGAGTTTGGGCAGTGTGCAGCCCAGGAGAATCTAGACAGATGAGGAGAGTGTGAGAGGAGGGGCAGAGGGTCCTTGGCTGTGGCGGAGCCAGGGGAACCTGAAAAGGACGGGAGGGGAAGGCTGTCTGAAGTGAGGGGCAAAGAGACGAGGAAGAGAGGGGCCAGCGGCGCAGAAGAATCCCGCGGAGGTGAATCTGAAGGGTAGGAACAAGGAGCGTTGCGGGGGTTGACACTGCTTGTCCACACGTTACTTCCCTCCCGCACCGAGCGGCCTCAGCGGAGTCCCCCTCTGTGGAAACGGTAGGTCTGAAAGGTCCATTGAGGAGGGCAGAAGGGCTCGTCAAGTGCACAAGTTGCCCTGCCAAGGGCTGTCCTAAGAGTCGTGGGGGAGGGGGCGGCGGAGAAACTCAGAGCCTCATGCTCCCCCTTTCCTGATCCTACCTTGTTTCTTGAGTCTTTCTGCCCCCAAGAGCCTGCTCGTGGCCCCGTGGGTGTCTCCTGCTTCCCCGTGGGGGCCATTTAGGGCCGGCCCCTCCATCTCGTGGTCCCGGTCCTGTCAGTGTGGAAAGCCCCCTCACAGGCACCAGGGTGCGCACTCCTGGCCACACCCTCTGCTCTCCACACCCAAGCTTGAGGCTTCTCAAGTGTCCCGAGGACTGGACTCTAGAGCTTAACCTTGGAAACTTGTCTAATCTACAAATCTCCAGCAGTGTGTCAGCACAGAAACCTCCTGCCTCACAGAGAGGCCCTCCGGGCACCCGGGCCCATCCCCTGCTCAGAAGGCAGGCCAGGGTCTCACACCCCCGCCCCCAAATGGGAAGGAGGTCACCAAAGGACAGCGAGGACACCGCTGGGTTTTTGCGCCATTCTTTTATTTCCTTGCCTTCAAGGTGCGTCTCATGCCAGGGAGGTGGAGGTGGTGTGGTCAAGGAAGCTAAGTGCAGAATCCAAATTCCGTGCTTCCTGGCAACTGAAGGTGCGGGGCAGGAATAAGTTGGGGCAGCCAATTCGAAGGAGACTCTGAACCCCCACCCCCCCCACCCCCCCGAAGACCATTATTGTAACATAGGGAATTTATGTGTGACGAGGAAGCCACGGTCTGCCGTTTGAACTCCTCACGGGTAGACATTGCAGAAAAATATTATGTGGGCTTGTCTTGTAAGCAGTCCCGAGATCGTGTAAACACAGAGGCAGGGATTAAAGCACCAAAACGGGTGCCGGGTGGCACCGCCGAATCCATCTTCTAAAATAATACTTGATGTTCCTTTTTAAAGCCTTCACAGCCACCTGCTTGTACACAGCTGCAGCTATCTTGTCAAGGACCAAAACCAGCATCTCACTGATTACCAAAGGACCCAGTGGGTCCAAGACCCAAAGGGCTGGGTGCGTTCCATACGCCTGTAATTTACGTTTTGCGAGAGCCCAGATCTTCTCCGCATAAAGCTGAGTGAAGGCCCGCACTCTGTTCTTCATGCCCGGGTCCGGTTTTAACTAGCTCAGCAGATCCCAATCAATAATGTAACACTTGCTCCCTCTGCTCTTGGTGGAAGCAATGACAGCCTTCTAGCAGAGTGGGCCTTTTAATAGAGGGGTCCTGGACAAGCTCCTCCTTCACTAGAAGTCTTGACCAATGGATGTGTGTGCCAAGTCAGCAAGGAACAGTTGTTGTCTTGAGTTTGTTTCATCTGATCAATGTCTTCCAAGGACCCAGAATCCTTATTTTCTAAGGTAGCACTCCACAAACGTGCTCCTTTTAATGGCAGCAGGGGGAGCCCTGTCAAATTTCTATCCGTGCACTCTTGACATTTGCACAAAATATTTCATAGGGTTAGTACACAGCTCAAGCACAGGGAAAACCCCGTTTCTTGAAATAAACAAACTTAGGACAGCCCACTCTGTCTTGAATTGTCAGAGAGCTTAACAGTCAATTTTGTCTTCTGTGTTTAAGAAATGTCCATCAATGCTATTACTAAATACATTGTGCGGGGTTTTGTTCCTCTTTCTATTTTTACTTAATTGAATGTTTGAGCTGCATAGAGCAGTCAATCAAGTGATCTTGAAATAGAAACCTTACAGTTGCTTGCCCCTTCCATTTTTCTCAAAATGTTAAAAATGACTATTAGTAAAGATACATGGTGTGCTTTTAACAAACTGAAAGCTTTTGCTCTACAGAAAAGTCTCTTTTCTTTGAACGTTTAAGACAGTGTTAACAATCCATTTTTTCTCCCACTGTTCCAAATTAGTAGAACCTGATCCTGAAGACAAACCAGCGAGTAAAACACAAGCAGAGACACTGAGATGAGAAGGAAGCCAAAGAAACTGGAGGGGAGATGGGAGGGCATTCCTCAGGTGGCTATGGGGAAGGGTTTTGAGGAACATCTATCCAGGACACATGGAGAAAACAGAGGGAGGGAAGTTGAGAATTGGAGATGATGAGGGTGGGGGTGAGTGGTGGGACGAACATGGAGACCCGTTGACCCGTGCAATAAGATATTTAAAACAATGTCACCATTTTCTACTACTAAATGCATATGGATTGTTTTTTCACTGAAGTATAATACTTTCCTCTTTAGAAAAGTCCATTTCCTCTTCAACTTTGAACACAAAGTTAACTGTCTGTGTGTCCTTCGATTGGAAAAAAAACCCATTAAACATTTGTATTACTAAAATCATACTGTGTGTGTCACTTATTTGAAATTCAGGGCTCTTTACAACAAACAGTCCACATTTTTCTTAGTTTTTCAAAGACTGTTACCTGTCCATTTTCCCCTCAATGGAAAAAGAAATGTTCAAAGGAACATTGTTCAAAAGACACCACATATGGTGTCTTTTTACCTTCATGAACATTTTTTTGTTCTTTGGAACCGTCCATCCTGTCTTGAACCATTGAAACAATGTTGACGGTTCATTTTCAGTTCAAGTAGTCAAAATAAGTGGAACCGAGTCAAGAGAAGCAGGAAGCGAAAGTATGAGCAGAGACACTGAATGTAAGAACCCACTGAGAGTAGGCGGAGGGGAGGTGGGAGGGGATGAAGGGTGGGGAGGCAGGAGGGTGTTTGAGGAACAGGTTTGAGGGACACAGGGCCAAACCAAAGGAAGGTAGGTGAATGCTGGGAAGCTGGCTCGACGGGGGGTGGGGGGGGGGGGTGGGGGGGTGGGGGGGGAGGTAGTGGGAGTGGTCGTCGGTGGGGAGGAGTGGAGACATGTGTACATGAACAACAATAAAAATTTGAAGACAATGTTTGAAAATTGTATGCTAAGCACATGTGGTTTATTGTTCAGTTAATGGAGATGTTTAGTTGTTCAGAAGAGTCCATTTTCCCCTCAAGTTTTAGAATCATGTTAGAAAGCTCCATTACTCAAAATGTATAGTTTCTTTTGGAAGTCATTGAAATTCTTTGCTCTTAGGCCCTTTAGTCTCTGGGGTCGCCTAACAAGGAAGCAATGAAGATTTTCTTAGGTTAGCAAAAGCAGGAATGAACATCATTACTCTTCAAAACAGAATCTGCCATTGGCCAAGACACGCACAAGGTTTAAAGACACACAATTTTTGTGCTTAAAACTCTAGTTCCCGAGAAGGTTGTCCAATTGCCCTGAATGGGATGAAGCGGGGTGACAGGGGCCAAAACAACAGCACATCTGTCAGGGTGACCAGTTCCCAGAGTGTCCCCTGTGGGCTGTGTTGTGTGTGCGCCATCCTTAGCAGAGTCTCCTCCCACCACCACCCTGTGCGCTCTACCCTTGCCTGCCTCGCCCACCCGCCTGTCCTTCCACAGTCAGCACACTGCTGTCTTGAGTCCCAGCTTCTCTCTCTAAGTCCTTCCGTTATCACTATAATCCTCCAGCCCATCAAGGAAAGACCTCAGCTCCTCCTTCCCTTTGTCATTTTATTCTCTTGAAGAACTTGAGGGAAGTGCTCAAGCTCTGCCATCCCCCAAAACAGAACCCAAGCTCAAGTAGCAAGCAGGGTGTGAGTAAAGTGTAACTCTTGGGAGCCCAAGAGGCCTCCTGAAAAGTCACGTGGAAACGATGGCCAATGAGAAGCAGGAGGAGGTGGTGGTGGCGAGGATTGTGTAACAGAGTCTCTGGAGCTGGGGTCGGGTTCTCAGTTTCAGTTCTTCAGTTGCTGAGACTTCACAGTTGCTCAAAGCTGTTTCTGGGTGTGGTGATTGCAGTGCTTCTCTTGCCTCAGAAAGGCCATTAAACCTCAGAGCTTCAAACCTCATTGCAGCCAATTTTCATGGAAGCAGATATTGACAGCTGGGAGGAATCCTTCCGGCACCCTGAAGGAAGGCTGAGGAAAACACCCTTGCAAGGTGAGGGGACTCGGGGTAAGGGTGGGGGTGGAAATGGCCTTAGTGTGTTCAGTGCCAGGAGTAACCCCCAAATGGAGAGAGAGGAAGGCGCCCGCGGGAGGGGAAAGGAAGAAGAGTGCAGAGTGCTGTGTGAAGAGCCTAGACCTAGGTAGAAATATTTAGAGCAGGGTGCCCAAGCCTACAAGGCCTGGAGGGGAGGAACCTCATTCATCTGGAAGAGGCAGAGAGTAAGGCTGTGTGTTTTGAGGGACAGAAAAGAGTTTGGGCAGTGTGCAGCCCAGGAAAATCTAGACAGATGAGGAGAGTGTGAGAGGAGGGGCAGAGGGTCCTTGACTGTGGCAGAGCCAGGGGAACCTGAAAAGGACGGGAGGGGAAGGCTGTCTGAAGTGAGGGGCAAAGAGACGAGGAAGAGAGGGGCCAGCGGCGCAGAAGAATCCCGCGGAGGTGAATCTGAAGGGTAGGAATAAGGAACGTTGTGGGGGTTGACACGGCTTGTCCACACGTTTCTTTCCTCCTGCTCGAAGGGGCCTCAGCGGAGTCCCCCTCTGTGGAAACGGTAGGTCTGAAAGGTCCATTGAGGAGGGCAGAAGGGTTTGTCAAGTCCACAAGTTCCCCTGCCAAGGGCTGTCCTAAGAGTTGTAGGGGAAGGGGTGGCGGAGAAACTCAGAGCCTCATGCTCCCCCTTTCCTGATCCTACCTTGTTCCTTGAGTCTTTCTGCCCCAAGAGCCTGCTCGTGGCCCCGTGGGGGCCATTTAGGGCCGGCCCCTCCATCTCGTGGTCCTGGTCCTGTCAGTGTGGAAAGCCCCTTCACAGGCACCAGGGTGCGCACTCCTGGCCACACCCTCTGCTCTCCACACCCAAGCTTGAGGCTTCTCAAGTGTCCTGAGGACTGGACTCTAGAGCTTAACCTTGGAAACTTGTCTAATCTACAAATCTCCAGCAGTGTGTCAGCGCAGAAACCTCCTGCCCCACAGAGAGGCCCTCCGGGCACCCGGGCCCATCCCCTGCTCAGAAGGCAGGCCAGGGTCTCACATTCCCGCCCCCAAATGGGAAGGAGGTCACCAAAGAACAGCAAGGACACCACTGGGTTTTTGCACCAGTCTTTTATTTCCTTGGCTTCAAGGTGCCTCTCATGCCAGTGAGGTGGAGGTGGTGTGGTCAAGGAAGCTAAGTACAGAATCCAAATTCTGTGCCTCCTGGCAGCTGAAGGTGCGGAGCAGGAATAAGTTGGGGAAGCCAATTTGAAGGAGACTCTGAGCCCCCCTGAAGACCATTATTGTAACATAGGGAATTTGTATGTTATGAGGAAGCCACAGTCTCCAGTCTAACTCCTCATGGGGAGTCATTGAATAAAAATGTTATGTGAGCTTGTCTTGTAAGCAGTACCAAGATTGTGTAAACACAGAGGCATGGATTAAACCAGAAAAACTTGTGTCGGGTGGGACTGCGGAATCCATTTTCTGAAATAATTCTTCATGTTCCTTTTTAAAGCTTTCACATCGACCAGCTTGGACACAGCTTCAGCTATCTTGTCGAGGACAAAAACCATCATCTTAGTGATTAGATGTGGACCCAGTGGGCCCAAAACACGAAGGGCTCGGTGCATTCCATAGTCTTGTAATTTATGTCTTACAATACCCCAGATCTTCTCTGCATAAGGTTGAATGAAGTCACCCACTTGGTTCTTCATTCCCGGGTCCATTTTAACTGACTCAGCAGATTCCAATAAACAATGTAACACTTGCTTCCTCTGCTCTTGGTGGAAGCAATGCCCTCCCTGTAGGAGGAAGTCAGCCTTTAATAGTGGAGAGAGGAGCAGTGGATGCTCTTATTCATCACCAGATGTGTTGAACAGAGCAATGTGTGTGGTTTAAGTGACACAGGAAGTGAGGTTTTAGAAACTTGGATCTCAAAAGTTTCAAGAAACTCTCCAGGGACTCTGAAGTTCCCTAAAGTCTTCAGAGACTCTAAAAGCTTCATAGTCCCTTTAAAATGACACAGAGGCTTTTCAGGTCCACACTGTTCCCTAGCCCAGGACTGTGCTTACATTTCTGCTGGTAGTTTCTGAACATAGTGTTTCATGTTACCCCCTTGTTGATGCTACCCTGTTCCTTGAGACTTACTGTCCCAAGAAGCTTCTCAGGTCCCTTGGTGGATTTGACTCCCAGAGGCAGCCATTGCTTGTTGTTTTATGCAAGAGTGGAAATTCCCTTCCCCAGCATAAGGAACTGTACTCTTGGCCAGCTTCTCTGCTCTCCATACAGAAGCTGGCGTTTTTTTAAAAAATAATTTCTCACATTTTTTCATTGTATTTCAAGTACATTTGTTTCCATTTACCCCCCAACCTCTCCTGTCCTTCCCATTGCACCCATCTTCAGTTTCCCAACTTGACTCTCCCCCCTTTGTTTTATTGCATGTGAACCTTATACATGTTGCAAAAAACCTTTTTACCTTTCTCCTCATTATCCTCTCCCACCTCTTATGTGGATTCTCTCAGTCCGTTTTCAAAGTCAATTCCTGTGTTTCTGTTTGACAGAGGAGGTCTTTGTAGCCTCCTGAGAACTGGAGTTTAGAATTTGAATTTGACACTTCTCTTTCTGCTAAATCCCCAGAAGGCTCATCATTCAGAGAACTCCTGCCCCATGGAAATGTCCTCCCCACCCCTGGGTCGTTCCCTCCTAATAAGGTCGCCACCCCTGTTAAGAATCTAAGCCAGGGACTTGTCCCCAATTGGGAAAGAAGTCACCACTGAACCACAAGGACACCCCATTTCTTTTTCCTCAATATTTTATTTAGTCCGGTTCAAGGTGGCTTTCTTGTAGAGAGGTGAAGTTGGTATGGCAATAAAATCGAAGTTCAGCATCAAAATTCCATGGTCCCTGGTAGTTGAAGGTGTATTGAGGGAGTGAGTTGAGGAAGAGAATAAAGAGGAGATGGTGTGCTTTCCTTAAAACCAGGACTTTAACATCTTCTATTTCTTGGGAGTGAGGGAGCCACACTGTCCTTTTTGAATTCTTCAGGGAGTATGACCTCATAAAAACAGTATGTCGGGCTGTATTGTAAGCATTCTCAAGATTGTGTAAAGACAAGCTGGTTTTATAGGCAGAGATTAAACTGGAAGCTGTTGGTCCAAGTCACGATGACCCATCATTTTTCTGGAAAAATTCATGATGCTCCTTTTTAAATCAGGCACATTTACATGGTTGTAGGCAGCTGACAGTATCTTGCAAGCTACCAAGGCCAGCATCTCACTGAATAGATACGGACACACTGGATCCAAGTAATCAAGGGCTTGCCCCATTCCATATGCCTGTAATTGAAGTTTTACTGCATCCCACAGGTCAGTAGAGTAATAATGAGTCAGGATACGCACTGTGTGCTCCATGCCCAGGTCTATTGTGAATGAAGTAAGCAGATGCAGAGCGGTGATGTAATACTTTCTTCCTGTGCTCTTGGTGGAAGCAATGCCCTCCCTGTAGGAGGAAGTCAGCCTTTAATAGTGGAGAGAGGAGCAGTGGATGCTCTTATTCATCACCAGATGTGTTGAACAGAGCAATGTGTGTGGTTTAAGTGACACAGGAAGTGAGGTTTTAGTACTTGGGTCTGAAAAGTTACAAGGGACTCTCCAGTGACTATGAAGGTCCCAAATGTCTTCAGGTACTCTAAAAGTTTCATAGTCTTGTTAAAATGATACAGGGGCTAGTCAGGTCTACACTGTTCCCCAGCCCAGGTCTCCGCTTAAACTTCTGCTACAGTACAACATAGTGTTTCATGTTCCCCCCTTCTTGATGGTACGCTGTGTTTTGAGACCTACTGTCGTGAGAAGCTGCTCAGGGCCCTTGGTGCATCTGAATCCCCGAGGCAGCCATTGCTTGTTGTCTTATGCAAGAGTGGAAATTCCCTTACCCAGCACAGGGAACTGAAGTCATGGCCAGCTCCTCTGCTCTCCATACAGAAGGTGGCGGGTTTTTAAAAAATCTTTTCTCACATTTTTTTCATTGTATGGCAAGCACATTTGTTTCCATTGACCCCCAACCTCTCCTGTCCTTCCCATTGCACCCATCTTCAGTTTCCCAACTTGACCCTCCCCCCCTTTGTTTTAGTGCATGTGAACCTTATTCATGTTCCTAAAAACCTTTTAACCTTTCTCCTCATTACCCCCTCCCACCTCCCATCTGGATTCTCTCAGTCCGTTTTCAAAGTCAATTCCTGTGTTTCTGTTTGACGGTGGAGATCTTTGTAGCCTGGAACTGGAGTGTAGAAGTTGACTTTGACACCTCTCTTTCTGCTAAATCTCCAGAAGGCTCACCATCCAGACAACTCCTGCCCCATGGAAATGTCCTCTGGATCCCTGGGGCGTTCCCTCCTGATACAGATGCCACCCTTGTTCAGAATATAAGCCAGGGACTCATGCCCCAAATGGGAAAGAAGTCACCAGTGAACCACAAGGACACCCCATTTCTTTTTCCTCAATCTTTTATTTAGTCCATTTCAAGGCGGCTTTCTTGTCAGGGAGGTGGAGTTGGTATGGCAATGAAAACTAAGTTCAGCATCAAAATTCCATGGTCCCTGGTAGTTGAAGGTGTAGTGAAGGAGTGAGTTGGGGAAGAGAATAAAGAGGAGATTGTGTCCTTCCTTAAGACCAGGACTTTAACATCTTCTATTTCTTGGGAGTGAGGGAGCCACACTCTTCTCTTTGAATTGTTCAGGGGGTATGACCTCATAAAAACAGTATGTCGGGCTGTATTGTAAGCATTCTCAAGATTGTGTAAAGACAAGCTGGTTTCATAGGCAGAGATTAAACTGGAGGCTCTTGTGCCGGGTTGCAACGACCCATCAATTTTCTGGAATAGTTCAGGATGCTCCTTTTTAAATCAGGCACATTTACGTGGTTGTAGGCAGCTGACAGTATCTTGCAAGCTACCAAGGCCAGCATCTCACTGAGTAGATATGGACACACTGGATCCAAGTAATCAAGGGCTTGCCCCATTCCATATGC